CTGTTGAATGAACCTTAACACCGACCCCCATATGGTGAAGATTCTTATTCTTCTCATCCTGTAAAACAAGAGGATGAAAGCTCTACGGTTAAGTAACCTGACCCAGATCCCTCAGTGAGAAAGTAAGTCCCATGGGAACACAGTACTCTGATGCACCACGCAAGAGTCTCTTCAAATGTGGCACTCAACTGGATTTTAGGTGGCTCCCCAGATCAGCTCTGAAAAACACTTAAGGGGGCACCTGGGTGGCTCAGTGAGTTAAACCGCAGACTTCAGCTCAGGTCATGATCTTGTGGTCTGTGACTTTGAGCCCCGTGTCGGGCTCTGTGCTGACAGCTCAGAGCCTGGAGCCTGCTTCTGATTCTGCATCTCCCTCTTTCTGCCCCTCCCCTGCTTGCTCTCACTCTCTCTCTCTCTCAAAACTAATAAACATTTTTAAAAATTTTAAAAAAGAAAAGAAAAAGAAAAACACTTAAGAATACAGATTGGCAAAAAATAAAAATTTCGTATCTTAACCAAAAATTAACTCAAAGTGGATCATGGACCCAAATGTAAAATGTAAAACTGTAACTCCTTTAGGGGGAAAAAAAAGAACAGGAAAAAATCTCTGAGATTGAAGGCAATGCATGGAGGTCTTAACCTTTATGCCAAAAGCACAATTCATAAAAGGAACTTTTGATAAACTGGCCCTCATCAAAATTAAAAATGGTTAGGGCTCCTGGGTGGCTCAGTCAGTTCAGCTTCCGACTCTTGATTTTGCCTCAAGTCGTGATCTCGCAGTTGTGGGATCAAGCCCCATGTCGGGCTCTGTACTGACAGCATGGAGCCTGCTTGGGATTCTCTCTCTCCTCCCTCTCTCTCTGTCCCTCTCCCACTCATTCTGTCTCCTCTCTCTCTCTCAAAACTAATAAATAAATAAACAGTTTTAAAAAACGGTTGCTCTGTAAAAGCCCAGGTGAAGAGTATAAAAAGGCAAGCTAAAAGCAGGGAGAAAATACTTATATACCATATACTCAACAAAGACTAGTATCTAGAATATGCAAAGAACTCTCAAAACTCAAAAGGAACGAATGAATTACCCAATTAGAAAATGGGCAAAGACATGAACAAATTCACCAAAGAGGATATACAGATGGGAAATAGCACATGGAAAGATATTCAATAGCATTAAGCATTAAGGAAGTGCATCTTGGGGTGGCTCAGTCAGTTAAGTGTCTTACTTCGGCTCAGATGATGAACTCATCACTCGTGGGTTCGAGCCCCACGTCAGGCTCTGTGCTTACAGCTTAGAGCCTGGAGCTTGCTTCTGATTCTGTGTCTCCCTCTCTCTCTGTCCCTCCCCTGCTGAGGCTCTGTCTTTCTCTGTCTCAAAAATAAATAAATATTTTTAAAATTTTATAAAAAAAAAAAAAAGAAAGAAAGTGCATCTTAAGACCAGGATGGGCAATCACTACACATCTCTCAGAATGGCTAGAGAAAATGATGACAATACCAAATGCTGACACAGATGCAGAAAACTGGATCACTCATACGTTGCTGGTGAGAACATAAAACAATACAGCCATTCTGGCAGTTTCTGATAAAAACGAAATTTGCAAATTATCACGGGGACCCATCAGTTGCCCCTGTGGGCTCTGATCCCAGAAAACTAAAAACTCATGTTTGTGCAAAAATTTGTACACAAATATTCACAGCAGCCTTACTTGTAATAGCCCAAAATGCCCTTCGACAGGTGAATAACTACTCACCTGTTAAACAAACTGCAGTGTGTATCCACGCCATGGAATACAATTCAGCAATTAAAAAAGGAATGAACTACTGATATACACAACGTGGATGAGTCTCTAGGGAATTATGCGGATCAAAATAGCCGATCTTAGTGCCAAGACAATTCAATGTGAAAAGAATACTCTTTCCAACAAATGGTGCTGGGGCAATCAGACTTCCTCATGCAAAAGAATGAAGCTTGTCCCCTACCTCACATCGTATGTAAAAACGAACTCAAAATGGATCAAGGACCTAAATGAAAGAAGTAAAACTAAAAGAGTCTTAGAAAAAATAGGGGTAAATCTTTGTGACTTTCGATTAGGCAATGGTTTCTTAATATGGTATCAAAAGCACAAACAACAAAAGAAAAAACGGATAAGCTGGACTCCCTCCAAATGTAAAACTATTGTGCTTCAAAGGACACCATTAAGAAAATTAAAAAATAACCCATAGAATCGAAGAAAATATGTGCAAGAGTCTAGTATCCAGAATACATAAAGAATTCTTACAAGTCAGTAATACAAAGACAAATAACCCGAATGCCTGGGTGGCTCAGTCGGTTAAGCACCCGACATAGGCTCAGGTCATGATCTCGTAGTCTGTGGGTTTGAGCCCCGCATCAGGCTCTATGCTGACAGCTCAGAGCCTGGAACCTGCTTTGGATTCTGCGTCTCCCCCTTTCTCTCTGCCTCTCCTCAGCTCGCACTCCGTCTCTCTCTCTCTCTTTCAAAAATAAATAAACATTTAAAAAAATTTGAAGACAAATAACTCAACTTAAAAATGGGTAAAAAATCAGAATAGACATTTCTACAGAGAAGACATACAAGTGTCCAATGAGCACGTGAAAAGTTGCCCAATATCATTAACCATCAGTGAAATTCAAATCAAAACCCTACTGAGATATCATTTCACACCCACTATGAGGGTAATTATCAAAAGACAGATAACCAGAGTTGGTGGGAATGTAGAGAAAGTAGAACCTTCATACATTGCCAATGGGAATGTACAAATGGTACAGCTCCATACAATGCAATATTGTTTGGCAATAAAGAAAAGATAAATAAGTATGTGCTCCAACCTAGATAAACCTTGAAAACATTAGGTTAAGTCACAAAGACTACGTATTGTATGATCCCATTTATATGAAATGTCCACAAAGAGGCAAATCTACAGAGACAGAAAGCAGTTTTATGGGTGCCTAGGGCTGGAGATGGTAGAAGGAAACAGGGGGAGGGAACCACTAAAGAGCACAAGGTTTCTGGGGTGCCCAAGTGCCTCGGTCGGTTGAGTGTCCGACTCTTGATTTCAGCTCAAGTCATGAACTCACTGCACTGACTGTGGAGCCTGCTTGGGATTCTCTCTCTCTCTCTCTCTCTCTCTCGCTCTCTCTCGCTCTCTCTCAAAATAAATTAACAGAAAGAAAGAGTACAAAGTTTCCTTTTCGGGTGATGAAAATGCTCTAAAACTTACTGTGGTGATGGATGCGCATCCCTGAATATGCTATAAACCACTGGACTAACTCTAATGAGTGAATTTATGAGATGCGAATTAAATCTCAATAAGCCTGTTTCCAAATTTTTAAAAGTCAATTTCAAAGGGTTATATGCTATATGATTTCATGATTTATGTAACATTTTTGAAATGGCAAATTTTTTAAAAGTTTATTTTGAGACACAGAGAGCACCAGCATGGGAGGGACAAAAAGAGAGGGGGAGAGAGAGAATCCCAAGCAGGCCCCACGCAGCACAGAGCCAGACAAGGTGCTTGATCCCACAAACCATGAACTGAAATCAAGAGTCGGACGCATAACCCACTGAGCCACCCAGGTGCCCCCGGAATGGCAAAACTTTACAAACGACGGGCAGATTAGTCGTTTCCAGGGGCTGGGGTTGGAGGAAGGGAAGCAGGTGAATATAGATAAAAACAGCCATGCAAACTGACCGAACCATTCAACATCTTGACTGTGGTTATAAGCACACAAACCTGTACCCCTGATAAATTGTATAGCACTAAATACACACACGTGCACACACACAAATAGGGACAAGTGAAACAGGGGAAGTCTGAATAAGATCTATGGATTGCATAAATCTCAATACCCTCACTGGAATATTACCCTACAGGTTTGCAAAATGTTACCTTTGCCGGAAACAGGGGAAAATGCATAGGGAATCTCCGTAGCTTTCTTTTCTTTTTTTTTTTTTTTTTTTTAAATGTTTTATTTATTTCTAGGAGAGAGAGACAGCGTGAGCAGGGGAGGGTCAGAGAGAGAGGGAGTCACAGACTGAAACAGGCTCCAGGCTCTGAGCTGGCAGTCAGCACAGAGCCCGACGCGGGGCTCGAACCCACAAACCGCGAGATCATGACCTAAGCGAAAGTCGGACGCTTAACCGACTAAGCCACCCAGGCGCCCCCGTAGCTTTCTTTTCTTTTCTTTTTTGAAAGTAATGTCTATACCCAGTACCTGGCTCAAACTCACGACCTGGAGATCACGTGTCACATACTCTACTGACCAGGCCATCCAGGCACCCTGCAGTTTTTCTTACGATTGCATAAGACTCTACAATTATCTCAATAAAAATTCCAATTAAAATATACTGAAATCTGTTCTGTTTTATTCTCAATTTCTCTTCAGATTAAACAAGTGTCCTCTGGTGCATGAGTGCCATAGCTCCTAACAGCTGCTTACACCCTTTTTAACGAGGAAGAGCAGACCTCAGGTTCAGATGCCCCCAACAAGAGAATCCAGCTGAAATTTAATAACACACTTTTTTAATGATATTTAGTTGTTTATCTAGATGATATAATGCAGAATTAAGAACGCAAATTCTGGAGCCCACCACTCAAGGATCCCAAAGCCACGTCTGCCACTTACTAGCTATGTGACCTTGTGCCAGTCACTTAACATCTCTGTACTTCAGACACCTCATCTGTAGAATGGGTTTAACAAGAGTACCTAGATCAGTGTTGTGAGTTTTAAATCACTGTGTGTGTGTCTGTGTGTGTGTTCATACACATATGTATAAGTGTCTGGCACAAACTCTTAGCAATCATTATTAACTTTACCAAAACAAGGACTGGGGGGAAATCACCACCTATTAGAAAATTTGAGAAGCACAAGTGCTGGCCAAATTACCTCTCAGAATGTACCCCCTTGGTCCCGCCCACCGGAGCCCTGAGCCCATATCCGGGTGTCGGTCGGGGAGGAGGGAGTTGGACCAGGAGGCACCCACCTGCGCACTTGGTGCGGCTGATGAGGGGTGGCCCAGGGCGGCCGGTGCCGCCCTCCCCAGGGCGCGTGAGCAGCACACTGATCTCGTACTCCGTGTCGGGGTCAAGGTGCCACAGCTTGTACGTCTGCAGGCTGACGGCGTGCACCTCGGCCCATGGACCGCGGGACATGCGGTACTCAATCTCCTTGCGCACGATCGGCCCGTCGCCAATGATGGAGTTGGTGTTGAGCTGGATGATGAGGTAGGTGGGACCCGCGCGCAGCAGCTGCGGCGGCGCGATGGGGGTGGGGGGCTCTGCGAGGACGTGAGGAAGAGATAGAGCCGAACGATGCGCTGTGAGACCCTGCTCTCAACTAGGGATCCCAGCACACCCAGGTCCCCAGTGACCTTCCCGGTCTTCCCAGGGGCCTTGATGAAGCGCCCAGATCCTCGACTAGACTTCCTCGCTGGTGCCCACTAAATCCCCAGGCCTTAAGGGGTGTCCGCTCCAAAGGCTGACTCCGCCCTCACCCTTAAGCCTACACCCGGTCTCTTAATCCCGTCTGAATCCCCAAGGACTCGTGTTCCGGGGCTGACCGCACGCCCGTCGGGTCAATCCCGGGTCCCCACAGCCTGACCCGGCCTCGCATGGCTCACGTCAGGACTGGGTCTCCCCGCCTGCCTGCTTCTCAGTCACACCCCGCCCCCCTGGAGCAGACCCCCTCCCTGGAAAGAAACTGCCCCCCTCTACAGACCCAGCTCCCAGCCGTCCCCTGACGGCCCCACCTTTCTACGGGCCACGCCCCTAGTCAGACCCCGCCCCCTCACCCGGCCCCGCCCCTCAGATGGTGCAGGTCCCACCCCCAACCCCACCCTGGGAGAGCATCCGTGCGCGCTGACCCTTGACGATGAGCTCTGCAAAGTTGGAGACGCCCGCGCCACGCGGGGCCTGGGACACGCAACGGTACAGGTCCTGCTCCGAGCGACTCACGGAGGCCAGCAGGAAGGTGGCCAGGAAGCGCCGGTGGCTGATGTGCCGCACGCTGGCCGCGGGCACCAGCTCCCCGCTCTGCCGCTGCGCAGGGGTAAGGTCGACAGCGTCAGGAGCGCCGGAGAGGGAGGGTCCCAACTCCCCCATCCCGCTCTAACCCTGGCCAGGGGAGTAGTCCATGTCCCGGCCCCCATTTAGCCGTCCCTAGTACACAGGGGACTGATGGGGTTCCTGGAACCAGCTCCGTCACAGGAAGGTGCCGGATGAGAAGCTGATTAAGGGAACGTGGTCTCTGCCTCCGATGGAGGGCAGTTGGGGGGTCCTGGAGCCACCCTCTGTCCTGGAGGTATAAGAGGACCCAAGAGGGCAGAGCAGAGCCTAGGTGAGCACAGCGATGCGTGTATATGGGTGCTGGAAAATGAAGGAACGACTCCGCACCCCACAAGGGACCCAGGTCCCAGAAGAAGTCTCCCCCCACCCTGCCTAAGGTCCTTGCACCCCTCACCTGCAGGAGAAAGCGTTCGGCCTCTGCCGCTCTGCCGGCTGCCATGCACTGGAAGGAGGCGTTCTGGCCAGCGTTGACCTCCACATCGCCCAGGCGGGAGAAGTGCGGGGCCTTTGCTGTGGGAATAGAGCCACAGTGTGAGGTGGGCCTGTGCCCCCCACAGGCAGGAGCCACAGCCACCCGCACCCCTCACCCTGCACCCCAGTGGGCTGGGACTCACCGCAGGGGTAGCTGAGAAGCAGGATGTCATCTAGGCCCATGTAGCCCCTGCGGTCTGGGGAGATGAGGGCCTCAAACAGCACCTGGGGGAGGTGGGAGGTTCCCTGTCATATCCCTCCAGCCCCACCTGGGGAGGTGTCCACAAGAGACCCCTTTTAGCTCTGCTCCGGTCCCATGCTCCTCAACCAACAGAGGTCAGCCCAACTCACAATGACCTTCCCTACCAAGCTGGCCAGTTGTGAGAGAGTGTGTCAGCAGCCAGAGCTCACAAGGTCAAGGTCAGAGGCTCTATCCCAGTCTGGAAAGTTACCTACAAGCCGGAAAACTTTTCCCAGCAGACAGGCTTTCCAGGTCAGCACTGTTCCAACTCACCCTTGATCCCAGCCACAGACCATTTCTATTGGCAATGCTCTCTGATGCTAAACCCACACCGTAGCAGCACTGAATGGCCTGATGGCTGACCACAGGCTGACCCCTGACCTTGACCACATATTGACTCCTGATGCTGAACACAGACTAATTCCAACCTCAGTCACTTGCTTACTCTGACATCAGGCTGACACCTCTCTTCCCCCACCCCTAAGCAGAGGCTGACCACAGACCAAACCCAGCCTACCTGATATTCATTGGGCCAGAAGGTGCTGACAGCCAGCTCTGCCTGGTGCCACTGCCGACCATGCGATCCAGTCATATTCCAGACAGCACTGCCCAGGGGACCCCCATTGACACGCACGTAGATGCCCAAGGTGCCCGGGCTGTGCCCATCCCGGCTGTATAGGAAGTAGCTGAACTGCACACAGTGGGTATCATTCTCACTCAGGCTCTGGAAGGTGACATGGGCCCGTTGGCCTGGGCCATGCTGGGAAGCATTGACCATCAAGTAGGAGCCTAGAAGGGGAAGAGGCAGGAGCTGAGGAGGCTTCGAGAGGATCAAGGTCAGGTGGGCAAAGGAAGGGGGCAGAAACAAAGGACTCCAGGCATTTGGACCCACTAGGAATCAAGGGTTCTGAGTTCTGGTCCCAGCTCTGACTCACTAGCTTGAGTCCCTTCACCTCCCTGCATCTGTTTCCCAGAGGAGAGAGCAAAAAAACGCACAAAACTGCCTCTCTCAAAACCCTTTATGGTCCCTCACCACCTATGATCACAGTCCAAGCTCATGCTGATCTACGACTTTCCCCACGTTCTGAGCTGCCCTTGGAGGCAGGAACTAACTAACTAGGTCATTCCTCTAGGAGTCAAGAGTCTGGCACATGACAGGCCTTCAAAGCTACCTTTTCTGAAGTCCTCCCTCGCTGTCCCTCTACAGGCTTCTCTCCTGGCCCTTGGATCATTAATAAAGTGTCTGTCTGTCTCCCCACCGGCCTATGATGCCTCGGGGGCTCCACTGTGTCTCCTGCACAGGTCTAAACCCAAGCTGAATGAGTGTGTAGAACAGAGGTTGAATAAAAGGACTCGAACTTCCCTTCCAGCCCCCGCCTTGGGTCTAAAGGCCTGAGATACAATGCTCTCGATTTCCAACCTGGAGAAAGGCAGGAATCTTCTTCCTCAGATCCGGGCTGTATACTGGCAGGGAGTGGAGGGGGGCTGGCAGGGTGGGGGTGGGCTGGACTCCTTGAGACCTGGTTAGGGGATTATGGCTTCCCTTTTGTGGGGAGAGGGCCCCAGCAGCTGCCAGGGGGGTGCCCGCAGCCACCCAGTGCTGCCTCCTCCCGGGCTTGGCTGTCAGCCAACACAAGCTCATTCAGATCCCAAACCACGAGGCTCCCAGCTCTGGGAGGGCTCCCCAGGGACTCCACTGGAGGGGCTCTCATTCATCTCTACAAGCCAGAGCTCCTGGATCAGTCCTGGTGGGAGAGTAAACAGAACTCCCAAGTCCCCATCCGCACCCAGAAAGGGGCACATCCTGGCCCCCAGCAGTGCCTCCTGGCCCGCTCCTCTGCCCTCTCCTCTTCCCGTGTGCAGCTGCGTGTCTCCCTCTTTCAGTCGGACGCCTTGTTCTTGCCTCTTCCCCCAGATCCTCTGCCCCTCTCTGTCCTCGCTTCTTCCCTGGATTTTCTTCTGCATCTCTCTCCTCTCCTTCATTTCCTCCCTTCACTCCTGTGGTTCTTCCTTCTCCCGTCTCTGAATCTCCCTCCTTCCTCCACCCTCCACCCCCAACTCCCTTCCCTAGAATGTGTGCCCCGAGAGAGCAGAGACTGCGGCCCTCTCGCTGACCACTGTGGCCCCAGGATCCAGCACAAGGCCCACTAAATTTCTCTCTCCCCTTTCCCACTGGGCATGTCCCTAAGGGTACGAGAGAGAGAAGCAGAACCCACACAGGGTGCCTGCCATGGTGGGCACCTTGACAGATCACTGTCACGCAGGTCAGTCTCTGATACCTCCTAGCACAGAGGTCAAACCAGGAGCTGAGAGCTGTTTCTGCAAAGACAGAGAGGAATGCCCCAGGGAGGGTGCAGTGTGAGCAAAGGCACAGAAAGGGGAGGCAGGGAGGCCTCCAGGAGGCAAGGTGAGCGGGAGGAGATGAGGCTGAAAGGCTGCCCATGCCAGGCTGCAGAAGACCACTCTGGTGGCTTCAAGCCTTGGCCTCACCAGTGAGAACCTTTACTGCCCCTCCCCAAATGCCCGACAGCCAGTGCAATTACAGCCATGTTGTGAGTGGAGTAGCAAAGGGCCTGGTCTGCTGCTATGACAGGGCGAAAAGGAGGGGGTCCTTAGGCTGTCTACTTCTGGGGTTCCCTCAGCAAGCCCATCTGGTTCGCACACGATGCTATGTCTTCTAACCCAGCCTTTATCAGTAATAAAGTTAATGATTTGGCCTCCATCTTTCTTATCCTGTTCTGAATTCCCAGTTAATTCTGCACCCCATGCAGAGGGCCCCCTCAAATACCTCCAAGAATAGCAAGCAACCATTAATTGAACCCCTACACACCACTCCCATGTTACCTTGTAGGCATTACTTCTAATTACCCTATGAAATGGATTAGTGTGCTCCCCACTTTACAGTTAAGAAAATGGAAGCTCAGAGAAGTTAAGTGACTCGCCCAAAGTCACACAGCTGGGACAGTGATGAGGCCCAGTCTTCATGATTCTGGAACCAGGATAGCAGGGGCCCTCATCAGAGTGGGAGACCAGTACTCCTGTAATCCAGTAATCCACGTAATTAGTCTCCTGACCCCCAGTCCAGTGCTCACAATGCTGTAAATGCCTCATCGTGAAATAGGGCAGAGCAAGGTAGAAGTTGGGAAGGATTTAGGACTTCCAGGAAGACGGGGGCAGAGGAACGAAGGTTCTAGAACATCCAGCCCCCAGTGTTACTGCTCCATCAGCACCAGCATCTTCAAGTCCTGAGAGACAAGGATTCAGAGGCTTCCAGGGAGGAGAGAGCCTCCCTGAAGGTGGAAGACTTAGGAAGACCTGATGTGAGTAGGGTGGACCCTGAGCCATGCAGGGGGAAGAAGGGGAAGTGGGTTTTAACTTAACGGCTAGAAGGGACTTTGATTGCTTCAACCTGCACCCATTTTACAGGTAAAACTACCTGATATACACTATTGGACAGTGTCCACAGAGCCCCACATGCATGGTATCATGTATGTCCTTACAGATGCAAAAGCAGCTGAGGCCCAGAGAGGTTAAGGAATGTTCCCAGGGTCACACAGCAGGGGTCTAGAACTAGAAGGAGACAGGGGGAAATGGGAGCTGAGAATGGACTCACCGTGAGGCAGGTCTGCAGGAGCCCGGGTCCCAGGGGGGATCTGCACTTGGTCCCACTGGAAGTCATCGTACTGGGCCTGGCTGTACTCGCAGGGCACTGCTGGGTCACTCGCCTCTTCGAAGGTGCAGCCGGCTGTGAGGGCAGGGCCTGGTCAGCCCTGACTAGGGCAGCACCGCTGGCCAGGAGGCTCCCCTGCAGGTGCCCATCACTGCCCTGCCCACCCAGCGCCCCCCCCCGAGGCCTCCCCTCACTGCTCCCTCCAACAAAACTCTCCCTCCTCCAACCCTTTCCCTCTTTTCACTGTCTCCACCCAATAGTGAGATGTCCCCACACTGCCCACCCCCAGGGTCACACACTGCACAACCACCCACCAACGAACAGAGATCTCCTCTCCTAACTGCTACTCAGTTAGCACTACCTGCCCCCCCACCTTCATGTAAAGGACAGATAGTGCGCCCCAGGATGGGCAGGCTCATGAATGCGCTAAGCCAGCCCTGACGGTATCTCCTTAAAAATAACAGCGGCCACCGATCATCTCAGGCTGGGAACAGCCCCTGCGCAGCGCGAACGGCTCAGTGTGGCATCTCATCTACGCCTCGCCTCCTGAGGAGGGGACCCCCGTTATTCCTGATTGACAGGTGAGTTTAGGGGACTCAGTCATTGCCCAGTCGCCCAGCTCTGATCTCTACCTGCAGGCATGGGACACGCAAAATCTCGGTCACGCGTGGATGGGCACATGCACGACTAGAGAAGCAAGTTCCCACGATTCGGACCCATATTTACAGTTTAAACAAGGAGAAGAGGAAGGAGGGAAGAAGGCGGGGTAGAAACAGATGTGAGTCCTTTGCCTGGTAATGAGGCCCATGTATCTCAGGAGCTCATCAGAGCCCTGAGTCGGGCACCGAATAAATGTGAGAACACCACCAGTTGGAGAAGTAATGGCAAAATGGTTCCTGCAGTCACTCCCAAAGCTGGGTGCTTGCAGCCCCATGGCAGGCCGTCCAAGGCATCGGGGACCCAGGAAAATGCGTGGGTAAGTGGTGAGGAGGCACGTGCACATTAGGCCGGACCCTGTGCAGGGTACATGCCAGCTGCCGGCACTTCTCCCCACCCGATGGATCAGGTGACTGAGGCCCCGGGGAATGAAGGGCTCCATCCACAGTACAACATGGTGGTTATGTGAGTGGGCTTTGCCATTAGACAGATGTGGGATTAAATCTTTCTTTTTTAATGTTTATTTGTTTTTGAGAGACAGAGATAGAGCATGAATGGGGGGAGGGGGAGAGAGAGAGACACAGAATCTGAAACAGGCTCCAGGCTCTGAGCTGTTAGCACAGAGCCTGACGTGGTGCTCGAACTCATGAACCGTGAGCTCATGACCTGAGCCAAAGTCGGACGCTTAACCAACTGAGCCGCCCAGGTGCCCCAATTAAATCTTGACTCTCATTTGTCAAGCCATGTGAGTGTGGGCAAGTCACTTCTTTCTGAGCCTCAGTTTCCACATCTGCATGTGCGGTTGTTGAGGATGCGATGTGGGAGTCCACTTGCCACGACGCCCAGCACGTGCGAGCCTCGGGACCTGGCAGCCCTTCACAGGTGCTGCTTAAGCCTCCACGAGCAACACACAGAAGCGGGACTTGAACCTGTGTCAATCGGATACCAGAGCCCATGTTTCCTTCACTATGAGAAGGAGCACAGCCAAGCTCTTCCCAGGCTCAAAAAGAGGAAGGAAGAGAAACTAGGGGGTGAGAGCCACGTGCCAGGCACGGCGGGCATTTGCCCCACGGGAAGGACTCCACTTTCAGGGGGCTCTTCTGTTTCACTGGCTGTGGGGACTTCTCTAGGTTGTTACACAGATCACATGGAGGAGCATATGGAAACATGGGGGCTCGCCCTTGTTGGGGGTCTCCCGTACCTCTCCTTGCACCCCACTGGAGTGTAAAACAATGAGATGTGGGCATGAGGCTGGCACTGAGAGAATCCTCTCTCCAGAGCTAAAGCAGGACCCCTGGCTGAGCCCTTTGCCTCTTTGTATGAAAAGCTCTGGTCGGCATCATGCCCTGTGGCCTGTGGGAGGTAAGTTTTTAACCCAATCTGTGCTGAGAAGGCCCCAATTCTCCCTCTAGAAAATGACTCACAGCACAGCACAGAGGGAGGCCATGGCCAGTAGGGTTGGTCAAAGAGGGCTTCCTGAAGGAGGGGGCAGCTGACTTCATTCAGCCTGAGCTGAGTCTGCAGTCTGCTCCTGGGGTTCTCAGCCAAGGCCTCCCTGAGGCAGAGGGATTGCCAGGAAGGGAAGCCCAGGATCTAGAGCCTGGAGGGAGCTCAGGCCCTTCCTATTCCTTTACAAGGCAGCTGCCCAAGGAAGTCTCATCCATGGCCCTGAGGCAAGCCTGGGAGTGCCAGCTCCTTGCCCCCCCACCCCCACCCCGTCCATCCTAAGCCAGGGCACGTGAGCTGTCAGGACTCCCAGACTGACCAACTTAGTCAGATGGACACTCAAGACCATGTAACCTTAGCCAGAGTAACTCCCAGACTGACTGACCCAGGTCAGTGAGCCCCAGACAGACTGACCTCAGCCAGAGCGGCCCCTACATCATCCAGACCATCTGACTTTATCCAGAATGACCACCAGATTGCCTGACTGACCCCGGACCAGCCAACTCCAGCCAGAGTGGCCCCTGACCTGTGCCAAATGCCTCCTACAATGGGCCTCCCTGGCTGACCTTCCCCCTCCACAGCATCCCCTTAGGCAGAATGACTCACTGTCCCTGGTCCATGCCCACCCCAAGCGCTGCATCTCTGGGGCCGGGCCGATTCCAACAACAGCCCTTAGAGGATTATCTCGGGGGTCCAGGCTCCCCAGTGAGAGCCGCACCGTCACACTCTCCCCGGCTCACCCTGGGATGGGAAACGATCAGGCCTCCCAGGTCCTAAAGAAAACCCCACCACCTCCTGTCTGGAAGGTTCAGGAGCCCCAAGGCTAAGTCCCAGCTCCTGCTAGAGAGAGACCCAACTTCTCCTGGAGGCCAATGGCCAGATCAGACTCTGGGTTCAGAGCAAGGATGGTGGCAGGGAATCCCTCTTGCCTGCGTCAACATAGACACAAGGGCCACGGCCGTGCACACACACGTGACCACCTCTGTGAGAGGGCTGCCACGTTCCACCGTGACCAGCTATGCCCAGGCAACTTCACAGTAATTCAAAAGGTGGGACTATTATTATTCCTGTTTTACAGATGGACACTGAGACTCAGAGAGATGAGGTGGCTTGTCTAAATCCTAGAAGCTAGGGTTTAAGCCACCTACTTTATTCAAGGAGACTGGGTCCAGACAAAATAAGGCCCTGCTTTTCCACTGACCGCATGTGTTAATTCGGTTCCATTCACAGAAACTTTGTTCACTGACAGCATAAAGCAGGTCTCAGCCTGGCACTATAAGAGGCCTAAGGATAATTAAGGTCCTGTCCTGGCTTCAAGGACCTCCCGGTCTGAATGGGGGTGACAGAGTAAGACAGAGCAGAGAAGGGTCAAGGCCACAAAGGGCATCCCAAGCAAAGATTTTCTGGAGGTGGGTGCATGTGAGCAGGGCATGGAAAGATGGATATCATTCTGGCCAGCAGAGATGAGTAGAAGAGCATCTGAGGCAAAGGAGGGCAGGGAGTAAATACACAGCCCAGAGCATAAAGGGGAGCGCAGACTGGCCAAAGCAATGGGAAAGGAGGCGGGAGAAAGGAAGACAGGCCAGATCAGGGAGGGAGGGCCTTAGGCGTCGGGGTGAGAAGTTGGAATCGGGAAGCCAGAATGGGTGTTTGAGCAGGCTTCAGATGAGACGGTGAGAAATCCTCTAAACCAGGAGGGGGGCGGGTGGGTTCTCCAGAGGGTACCACAAGATCGGGAGGGACAAGCCACCATCAGATGCCAGGAACTGGGGTCCCCATCCTAGATGCAAACAGCCCACACTCTAGTCACACCCAGAGAGATGCCCAACACACACACACACACACACACACACACACACACACACACAGCCCCATACTCCCTCCCCCCAGCGTAGTCCAAGCCTCAGGGACACAGTTGCAGCCAGGCTGGGGCAGGGAGAAAACGAGACCCCACAAGGGGGACCCCATCTCTGTCCTGGCCTCCCAGAAAGGGTGGGCTCAATCAACCCAGGACCCCCACCGGTTCCCCCAGCCTCAGCTCTAACTGGCCCAGCTACATTCCTCAGCTAATCTCCCCAATCTGGCAGGCGGTTGCTGAGGCAACCGTCAGCCACAATTTGGGAAGGCAGGATGGCTTATCCACATCCGGCTGGGCTGGGCTGCGGATGGGGCGATGGAAGGGGCAGGCAATCTCAGCAGGAAGAGTCAGGGTGTGGGAAGGGTTCTCCCCCGCACGAGGGCCTCCACGTCTCCATTTGCGTGCGTGCGTGCGTGCGTGTGTGTCTGTGTGTGTGTGGCTGTGAGAGTGACAGCTCAGTACCGACTTGTGAGCACGCAGCTGGGAGGCAGGAGACCTGGATCTAATTCCTGCTGAGCCTCGAATTCCCTGTGTGACCTGTGGCAGGTGACTTGCCCCCTCTGAAGCTCTGCTTCCTCACCTACGAAATAAGAATGGGGACCCAGGTGACCTCGAAGGCCACATCCACCTCTAGCATTCCGGTTGCATTTGTGTGAGTACGCCCGGGAGCAAGGATAATTCGAGGGCAGAGAGACTATGGGGCAGAGGTCTGTGAGAGTGAACGTGGGTCTCAAGTGAGGGTCCCCCAGGCAGCATGCTGTGAAGCTGTGGGTTTGTGGGTACCCGTGTGCGGAGGTATATGAGCACATTCAGGGGGAAGCAAGTACCTACACGGTGAATATATGTGGTGGGGTCAAGGGTAGCTGTGCACACATGTGCACGCGCATGTGCGTGCGTGAGCCCCAGACTTTCCTCCCCACCAGCCAGGGAATGGTGCTCTGTGCCAATGGTGGCTTCCAGCCATGGTATTTTCTGAAGGACCCGAGGTAAACAGAGTTTGTTTGCCATGAGATCTTTGTTCTTTTTGATTTGTCAGTAGAGCATCCAGTTCCCAAGGGTGGCCCCAGAAGAAATAAAACCTCCCCCAGCGGGCTGCAAGTTTAGGGGCTGGGAT